CCTGGTATCTAGGACTACTGCGTGTAATTTCTTGACACATTCAGCATCCAGACGTTGGGCAGTCAGCTTTGGTGTACGCATCTCTCATTATCGAGACTGCATGATCCTATACATATATTTATATATATATATGTATATATATATATACATTTATTTATATACATGTGTGTATATGTATTATATAATGGTATAAACTAAATGCAGTTACAAGATGATGCCAGTAAAATCACTGTAAAATAAGCATAAAAACGCATGTTTACTCGAGAAAAGCCGGCCCTCACGCCGACGCACTCTCTCTCTCTATATATATATATATACACATATTATATGTGTATATATATATATATGTATATATATATATATATGTATGCATGAGTTTCAGACAATGGCGGGGTAAGGCTCTTTTAGTAAGGATCGTATTTTGAAGGGTTCTAACCTTCCCTTAAGTTTCTGAAACTCCGCTTCAAGGCTTGAAAGGTCAGGTGTTGTGCGAATCACGCCACATCGCCTAGTTCCCGAATCCTAAGTCCCCAGAGACTCCAATACCCCTTAATTAAGGAATATACCTTAAATCATATTAGGAAGCCTACTAGCATTTTAGGTATAGTCCTTAATCAGGGGATATTGGAGTCTATGGGTCCTCGACCCTGAACCCTATAACCTCGTATAGTAAGCTCCAAAAAGTTGGGAAACCGGCTTAAGGACAAACAATGCTGAGATTCCCTATACATTACTCTCAAGGATGGATGCTATTGGTTTCCAACTTTTGGGCTTCTACCATACTCTCAACACTTGCAAGCGTCCTGGAATCCGCCGCGCACGTGGCCAATGCCTCTTTCGCAGACTGGGTTCACATAGATGTGTGTAGCAGCGAATCTATGCTAAAAGGTGCAACGGAAAAAGAATAGACTTCAGACCACTCACCCACAAAACCCTGAAACCTACACCTGTGACCCTTCATCTACAACGAATTGCTACCTGCATAGCGGTCCAGATTGCTGGCGTTGAAAAATCTAGATTTAGTTAGTTGTCGTGTTTCCTTTTTTTGATTTTAGGGTTTAGGGTTCATGTGTTGTGGTTTATGGTTTCGGCCGTCGTGTTTGCGTCGGGGCCTCGGGAACTAAGTCACTAGACATAAAATCATAGACCCAAAGCCCAAAAACCCTGACGCATTAACCCGGATGCCTAAAGCCCTAAACCCTAAACCCGTAAACCCTAAACCCCTAAAGCCCTAAACCCTAAACCCCTAAACCCATTAACCCTGATGCCCTAACCCTAGACTGCCTGGGGCTTAGAAGGGAATGGGGGAATGGATCCCTATGATAGTCCCTTACGCTCCCTTATAGTAGTCCCTATAACACATTCCCCCATTAATCCCTAGTAAGCACCAGACACAGACAGTCTACGGTTAGGGCATCAGGGTTAATGGGTTTAGGGGTTTACGGTGTAGGGCTTTAGGCTTTAGGGTTTATTTTTTTTGTTGAGGGCTCTTTTCCGTCTGCACGCGGGCACGGCCTACGGAAGCCTACTAGAGGCGAGCCACATCGGCTCCCTCGTGTACCTCCACTTCCAGGGAAGAAAAACACGATAAAAGTCGACCCCGGCCATCACAGACCGACCATGCAGCGGCGGAAGAGTCTCAACACCGCAAATCTCAGAAGCAAGAAAACAGAACATCATAGCAACGTGCAGGGTTTACGGGTTTAGGGTTTGGGGTTTACGGGTTTAGGGTTTAGGGACAGTAGAGCCGGAACCCCAAGTCTCCCTGGAGCTCGCAGCCGGAGGAAGCCCCGCAGCCAAGACTCGCAAGCCACGAGCTCCACGTCACGAGCTGAGTAACCCTAGCCCGAAGAATGTTAACCTTGTCAATTATATTCTAGAATTCTCACAGGAATACATATATATAATATATATGTATAAGGCCAAAAAGATTAAAGGTTACCTACTCAGCCCCTAAGCCCTATAGGCCACAAAGAAGCAACCCAGGACTGCTTTGAATTCCACACTCTGAAACCTGAAGCCCGAGACACCTCAAGCCCACAAACATCGAAGCGTACGTCGGTTTAGGGTTTAGGGATTAGGGTTCAGGGTAGGGTTTAGGGTTTAGGGTTTAGGGTGCAAGTTCTGTGAAACCCGAAACGAAACGCATGAACGCCAGAACCTAAACACCAAACGCTAAGCCCAAAATCCAACACCCAACGACCTAGACCCAACAACCCTTATGGGAACCGTGTCTTGTAGACCTTTCTAGCCGTGTGAGCCCTCAAATGCAGAAGACAAGCATCCCTAAATTAAAGCCTGAACCAAAAACCCCTAAACCCAAAACCCGAAACCCCCCAAACCCTATCACACAAAACCACAAACTCTAAACCCTAAGCCCTAACACCCAAAAACCCGAAACTCTAAACCCTAAGCCCTAACACCCAAAAACCCCTAAACTCTACACCCGAAGCCCTAACACCCAAAACCCGAAACTCTAAACTTTAAACCCTAAGCCCTAACACCCAAAACCCCGAACTCTAAACCCTATAAACCCCAAGCCCCGCACCCTACAGCCCCAAACTCTAAAACCCCCAGCCCTAACACCCAAAAACTCTAAACTCCAAACCCTAAGCCCTAACACCCAAAAACCCGAAACTCTCAACCCTAAGCCCTAACACCCAAAAACCCGAAACTCTACACCCTAAGCCCTAAACCCCTAA